AAAGTTCATTTGGTTGGCATGTGTAAAAAGTGCACGGGAGCTCGGGTCGAAAGCACTGATAGAAGCACGTGATGGGCATGGTTTTGTGGTACATACCAGGACACGTCATTAAAGTGCACAGCCCTTCAGTAAAGTGATCGGCCTGATATGTCCTCAAATCTTCCGATGAGGACGCTTGGCACTTTCAGGTTCATGTCATTGGTGGACCGACCGACTTGGCGAATTTTTTCGTCTAAGTCATTGTTACTCGGTTAACAGTTAAGATATTGACTTCTGAGTTCATGTCAACGATCACGTTTGTCATCCGCTGAACACGGTGCGATATTTGCTCGAATCCTCGTACGACGATGCACGCTACTTTCATGGTCGTGTCATACTTCCTCCGTCCTCAGACGAGACGGATATGCTAAACCATTGTTGGGTGCTTCCAGGTATGACAATAGCCAAATCAATGCGTTTGCTCTTTGCTTAATTATTCAAGTGGGATTTGGTTTCAACAACTGCAAATCACGTGGTATATCTGTCGCACAGGACATCAGTCTTGTTCCGATGGCTTCTATGTTACCCTGTGCTGTATGCAGGTTAATTCATCATGATGATAGTCATATTCCCGAGAATCTAACTGCGTTTTATCTTGAACGTGGTTTATTCGATCATATCATCAGAGAGAAGCGCCGCTACTGTGTCACTGGTTTCTTCCCATCTGAAAGCTATTTCTTACTCCATTTGACGTGTCTGTCGCTCATCGCTTTTAAGGTCCCTATACACCTTTTTCCATGACAGCCTGTTTATCTGCGGCAAAATCCCTTCCGAGTTCTTTGTGTCCCCTGCTGTGCTTGTGTCGTTACTCCTTCTAACGTTCCCAAGCGATGTGCAGTCCTGTCCTGTTTACTCCTGCGATATTCCCTCACAGACCTCCAGTATGGAAATGGTATTGCTCTGATTAGATCAGGCCAATTGGACTTGTCATTCGCTCTGATTAGATCAGGTCAATTGGAATATACTTGTCATTCTTAGTATGTAAATACTTATGCTGGCAAGTGTGCAGGGTTACTTCCACACTGCTTGCAGAGTTGGTTCATCTGAGCAGCTTAGTTGTAATCGCTTTCCTGTTTGGGAAGGCCCCCGCAAAAAGTCGACATCAGCTCAGTCGTTGACATTGTGGTCCGGCCTGTCCTGGTTTGTGGATGAAAGGCGTGGCAGATGGACGCAGATGTCCATCGAAGTCTCTGTGTTTGACCATCAATGCACGGGTGCATCGAATGGGTCTAATGGGAATATCAGATCAGTGATGTTGAGGCACGCCGGATGGTTTTCAGGGAGGGTATGTCCCCCTGAATAGATTAGATGGTCACACACCTAAGTTTACGCCGGCTAGGTCACAAATTTCTTATACAAGAAGACCGTTTCCGAGTTGGACACCATGTGTCGAACTGAGAGAACCCAGAAAAAATTAGTTCGTAATTTGGCAACGATGGAATCTGAAGCATTTTAACAATAGACTTAGTCGCACTGGTAATTGAGGCACATAGATATGTCAGTTAGCCAATGCAGCTTGTCATGAAGCTAAATCACCTGCGTAGCTCCTTCACTCGCTGTTGTACAGGACAAACAGAACCATTTGACGTTAACAGAATGGCTGGGCCATCATCTCCAACGCCTGACCCACTTTTCCCAATTCTCCTTATCCTCGGTAAACGAAGATGTTTTACCTAGAACGACTGTACTTAGTTGGTTGCTGAAAAACTGAATCACTGACTGGCTCACTGACTACCACGTATCGAACTCCTTTCATTCACCAGTAGTTATGGTCTCTTGAGGTTACGCGCATGCTCAGGAATCACGAATGCTCTCTCCGAGTGTGTTGATGCTCAATACAGTAGCGTTTGCCATTTTCGATTGGTCGATTGCAAAAAGGAAAAATGGCTTAGGGAAACGCCTACACTCAGCACCCGACAAAAGTGTCCACTGGAAACGGAAAACAGACTGCCACAATGCATCTAGGCTGGTAAGGCATTGACTGCATCTACTCACTGATGACTGACCGATCTCAAACAGGTTACTCCCAATCGAAATGTGTGGTGTTATGCAAGTAGTCAGGACTAGTTACACGGTGATCCTGGGGGAATTCAATCGCTTGGTGGGCTAGTGCTTCGTAATTCACATCCGGAGAACTTGAAACTTTCATCAAAATACCGCCTGATGAGGAGTTTATGCGTGCTGTGCCAATGTAACTTGTCTACTCCTTTCCGTGCTACGGCTGTTTGTGTGATTGTTTTTGATGAGCAGCTGACTATCACGTGACTGTCTAATGCTCCAGATTCCGGCCTTGGAAACGGTGTGCAGTTTCAGGAGCACATTCCAATTGTTATCATTTGTGAAATCCAGGTTAGCAACGAGGTGTCTGTGCGTATCGATCAGAGTGGACTGCGGTAAATCGTTTTGTTGTCAGTTTCATTCATATTCGCACAATAACGTGGTGGGTTATTGCGCACCATGTTAGAAAAGATGGTTTAGCTGAGATACCTGAGTATCGAATCCTACTTCCCGTCATACTTGAACAATTTTGTAACGGTTAAATAGTCAGTCGTTAGGACATTGATCGATTCTAGACACGGTTTCGTTTGTCTGGTCGAGGATTTGATTCGATTCACTTGCGTGACTGCGTTTGAAGTACAAAGAGATCCGAAAAGATTTGAAGACGCCTCGTTTACGATTTAGTCTGTTTACACATCTCCATCACCTAGATCATTGCTGTGGAAGTTATGCCTGATCGCCAACAATGTTGTTCATACTAGCGCCGTTTTTTCACTTGAACTTGCTGAATCTTTGACATTTCATAGGGCACCTGAATGAAGCACTCGTGGCGTCTATAAGCTAGCCATCTTGACTATGGTGAACTTCTTTCCACCCGTGTAGGCATGAGCTAACATTTAGGAGCAAGGGAGACTGTATTCGTCACCAGAGTCATCATCCTCATCATCATCACCGACACACGACATCAGTGTTCAACACTGACGCTTCACTGCCGTACAGCCATGATTTATTTGAAAGCCTTATTGTAACCAAAAGAGTAAGGGTGGGCGGGGATGGGACTTAGTGCTAGCTTAACACAATCATTCCGAGGTGCCTACACCTCCAGACATTCACTCAGGCAATCTGGATAGAAACTGACAACAAGAACGCCACTGACATCGGTTGGCAGCCATATCT